TTCTGAATTTTCCCCCCAAAAAAGAAAAGTTGAAAATCAGAACTTCTCTACAAAATCTCCTCATTATTCTTTGTTGACAACAAATAAATGTTTTTGATGTTTTTTTTTTTCAATTCCTTTGGGCCAAAGAAAATATGTCAATTAGCTACAGACATTCCCTATTTGACCACCAATTTATGACATCTGTTTTTAAGATTACTTCAAACATAGAAAAACTTTATTTTTACAACCTTTGCATCATTTCCTAATAATAATAGATCACACTTGGTGAGCATGCTCCATGTGCAAGACACTGAGTGTTGTACGTGGACTTCTTCACTTAATTTTCAAAATTTTTGGTCCCTAGAGCAAGAGGGACAGTAAAACACCAGGTCTTGAAATGCCCCCCTTTCTGTTCCCCAAAACCTAGCCAAGTTGAGGAAACAATGAGAGCAAATCCTGGGATGGAAAGTTCAAATCCATGTTATCTTGAAGAACAATGGCTTTCTCTTATGCACCTGGGGAACTAGAGCAGGTGATGTTATCTATAGAAAGCTACTCTGTTGCATATATGCCAGGACAATTGCTCCTTGGGATGTGGGTCACCCAAGCAAACTCAACAAGCTAATGTTGATGAGGTCACTGTTTCTACAGTCCAATGTATAAAACCCTTCTCTGAGCAGGGACAGTCACAGGACTGAGGATATGGAAAGGATACATATCACTTGTCCAGTTGGCCATCACTGGCAAAGCATCATGAGAGACAGAGGTACTGTCTGTTCTGCCTATCACCACTGAAGTCTTCTTAACTCTATCAGTTTCCACCAGTAAATCACATCTCCCAAGCTGTCTCCAGGTTCTTTCTTTTTCCCGCAAGCAGCCCTACCACCCTGACACAACTGGGCTGTGGATGAGACACAGAACAACACTATTATGTAGGTAATGTTATTAGTCCCATTTTACAAATGACAGCATCTTTCAGCACCTTGTTCAAGATCATGGCAGCCAATGAATGGCTGGACTGGAAACCGTATACTTCTGTGGCCATGTCTGCATTCACTTTCTTTCTTTTCTTTTTTTTTTTAATTAGACCTTAAACCCAGTGTTGTTCTACCACACTGAGCTCTATCCCTAGACCTTTTTATTTTCTATTCATTTATTTTTGTGGTACTGGGGATCAAACCCAGGGCTTTGTGCACTCTACCAAAATAGCTATGTCCCCAGTCCCCCTTTTTTTATTTTCTTATTTTAAGACAGGGTCTTGCGATGTTGGAAAGTCTGCCTCCAACTCCTGATCCCCCTGCCTCAAACTCCCAAGTCACTGGGATTATGGGTGTGTAAGTACATACCTCCACTTACATCGTCTCCCTTGAAACATATCAACCTTGTCTAGTAGGCTCACCATCACTATTTTACAAATAAGAAATTGAGGTTCAGAGGTATGAAGCAACCTGCCCCCTACCCCAAGATTCTAACCAAATAAGAGGTGAATCAGGACTCAGACACAAGGGTATGTGACTTTAGGCCTACGAGGCTCCATCCTGGGGAGCCCCCAGCTATGAACTGAGGGCTTCTAAGAGGTCCCTGTGTTAGAGGAAGATCAAATA